AAAAAAAAAAAAAAAAAAAAAAAAAAAAAAAAAAAGTAGAAATAACTAAGATCAGAACAGAACTGAAGGAGTTAGAGACACAAAAAATACCTTCAAAAAATCAGTAAATCCAGGAGCTGGTTTTTTGAAAAGATCAACAAAATAGACCACCAGCCAGACTAATAGAAAAGAGAGAAGAATCAAATAGATGCAATAAAAAAAAGATAAAGGGGATATCACCACTGATCCCACAGAAATATAAACTATCAGAGATCCCTAAAAACAGCTCTATGCACATAAACCAGTAAACCAGGAAGAAATGGATAAATTCCTGAACACTTGTACTCTACCAAGACTAAACCAGGAGGAAGTAGAAACCCTGAACAGACTAATAACAAGGGCTGAAGTTAAGGCAGCAATTAATAGCCTACCAACCAAAAAAAGTCCAGGTCCAGACAGGTTCACAGCCAAATTCTACCAGATGTACAAAGAGGAGCTGGTTCCATTCCTTTTGAAACTATATCAAACAATATACAAAAAGTGGGAATCCTCCCAAATCATTTTCTGAGACCAATATCATCCTGATACCAAAACCAGAGAGAGACTCAACAAAAAAAGAAAACTTCAGGCCAATATCCACAATGAACATCATGCAAAAATATTCAGTAAAATACTGGCAAACCAAATGCAATAGCACACCAAAAAGCTTATTCATCATGATCAAGTAGGCTTCATCCCAAGGATGCAAGGCTGGTTCAACATATGCAAGTCCATAAACATAATCCATCACATAAATGGAACGAAAGACAAAAACCACAAGATTATCTCAAAAGATGCAGAGAAGGCCTTCAACAAAATTCAACAGCCCTTCATGCTAAAATCTCGCAATAAACTAGGTATCGACGGAATGTATCATAAAATGATAAAAGCCATATATGACAAACCCACAGCCAATATCATACTGAATGGGCAAAAGCTGGAAGAATTTCCTTTCAAATCAGGCACCAGACAAGGATGCCCTCACTCACCACTCCTATTCAATATAGTATTGGAAATTCTAGCCAGAGCACTCAGGCAAGGAAAAGAAATAAAGGGTATTCAGTTATGAAAGGAGGAAGTCAAACTGTCTCTATTTGCAGATGACCTGATTGTATATCTAGAAGACCCCATCATCTCAGCCCAAAATCTTCTCAAACTGATAAGCAACTTCAGCAAAGTCTCAGGATGCAAAATCAATGTGCAGAAATCACAAGCATTCCTGTATACCAATAACAGACAAACAGAGAACCAAATCAAGAGCGAACTCCCATTCACAGTTGCTACAAGGAGAATAAAATACCTAGGAATACAACTAACAAAGGATGTAAAGGACCTCTTCAAGGAGAACTACAAATCACGGCTCAACAAAATAAGAGAGGACCCAAACAGATGGAGAAACATTCCATGCTCATGGTTAGGAAGAATCAATATCATGAAAATCGCCATACTGCCCAAAGTAATTTATTGATTCAACACTATCCCCATCAAGCTACCAATGACCTTCTTCACAGAACTGGAAAAAACCACTTTAAACTTCATATGGAATCACAAGAGAGCCTACATAGCCAAGACAATCCTAAGAAAAAGAACAAAGCCAGAGGCATCACGCTGCTGGACTTCAAACTATACTACAAGGCTACGGTAATTAAAACAGCATGATACTGGTACCAATACAGAGACATAGACCAATGGAACAGAACAGAGGCCTCAGAAGCAACACCACACATCTACAACCATCTGATCTTTGTCATATCTGACAAAAATAAGCAATGGGGAAAGGGCTCCATGTTTAATAAATGGTGTTGGGAAAACTGGCTAGCCATGTGCAGAAAGCAGA